TACGCCGGTAGCGCGGTCGGTTTGAATCATAGTGAACGTACATAACACCCTCTCCGCTAAAGTAAAACATTTTTATGGCTACGCTAATGTACTTGTAAGGAAAGAAAAAGAAATCCCTTATATGGTAATCCGTTAAAAAAAAAGAAAACGCGGCCCTTCTAGAACATAATAAAAATTGAATAAGAAACAGAAAAATTGTGTCTTAACCACTCTTTCCTATCTCAGATTAACTTCGTAATCTCCTAAATGTGTAGGCAATTTATGTGGCCTTCGTGGTCTCGTAGGTTGTCTAGGAGTGGTTTCGACCGGATCAATATCGCATTCGGAATGATTTTCCGATTGTGCTGGCAACGCTTGTGGAGGAGGCGGTGATCTCATTGCTTCTGGTGTACGGTGATTCGCTTCCTCCACGTTATCAACTACGCTTTCTTCTCCGACCACTGAGTAGTCTAAATCGGACGTTATCGCACTAACTTTATCATTTAGCTTTACTGGCGTCCTATTGCCAATCGTGCGCATCTGGTTGATGTGCCTCTTCCAGATTCGTCCATCATCCAGTTTGATCTTATAATGTAGTTTACCAATACGCTCTACAACTTTTCCAAACATCCATTTATCTACGCCTAAATAGTTTCGACAACTCACTCTCTCTCCTTCCTTAAAGACCAGATGAGTTTCTGTTGTTACGTTGTAGTCGTTACTATGCTTTATTTCTGGATGTAGTAAATCCAGGCGTGTGCGTATTATTCTCGCGAACATTAGTTCTGCCGGAGATTTCTCTGTCGCTGGATGGATCATATTTCTATACTGTATTAATATTTGTTGTAATGCAATATGTACATTGGTTCTGTCGCTTCGCATACGACGTAAGGAATTCTTTAAAGTTTGTATAAACCTTTCGGCCTGACCATTGGTAGCCGGATTGTACGGTGCCGTAAATTTTTGTACGATTCCGTTTTGTTTTAAAAACGAAGTGAATTCGGACGAAATAAAAGTTCTTCCGTTGTCGGATACGAATGTTTTTGGAATTCCAAAAGTAGCGAAAATTTTCCTACATACGTCTATAGTAGTTTTAGCTGTAATGTCTTTGACGATGTGGACCTCTGGCCACTTAGTATACGCATCGATTAAGACAAAAAAGAAATGACCCAAGAAAGGTCCTGCAAAATCCGCGTGAACGCGACTGAAAGGAGTTGTGGTTTTCTCCCAAAGGTGTGGTTCTATTTTCGTGGGATTATTGCGAAAAGAGTTGCAATCTTTGCAATTTTTAGCTAACGACTCTATATCTTTGTTGATATTAGGCCACCACACATAACTTCTAGCTAAGTTTTTCATCTTGCTGATACCAAAATGTCCCATATGTAGTTCTTGCAGAATTCTTTTACGTAGTACTACTGGGATTACTACTCGATGACCTCTTAAGATTACATTATTCTGTAGTGTAAGTTCACCAACATCTAAGTTAAAACCTTTTAGATTTTTAAATTTTTTACCTGTCTTTAATGCTTCTAAAACTTCTACGAGTTCTTTATCTTTAACTGTAGCTGTAGCTAATTCTGTCACTGTAAGTGGAAGACTCTCGATTGTATCTAATTGAAAGATATCAACTACGTCCTCGTTAACTTGAATTCCTTCTATAGGAAGGCGAGAAAGACAGTCGGCGTTTGCGTGTGCCTCCGATCTACGATACTTAATGGTGTAATTGAAACCTCGCAGAAAAAGAGCATAGTGCTGCATTCGCATAGCACTGCATATTGGAAGTCCTTTTTGGGGTGAGAAAATTTGTACTAATGGGCGGTGGTCTGTAATTAACGTAAAATGTCCACCGTGTAAGAACTGGTAGAATTTTTTTATACCAAAGATTATGGCGTATGCTTCTTTGTCTATTTGCGAGTATGATTTTTGTGTTTTCGAGAGAGTTTGGGAAGCGTATTGAATTACTCTTTCTGTACCATCCGGATACAAATGTGATAGGATAGCACCTACACCGTACGCGCTAGCATCCGTAGCAAGAATTAGAGGCAAAGTTGGATCGAAATGTACCAAGAAATCCGTACTTGAAAACGCCTTTTTGGCAGCTAAAAAGCTTCTTTTACACTCCGTAGTCCAGACAAATTTGGTGTTCTTACGTAATAGATTGTTCAACGGATGTAGTATCGTGCTTAAATTCTTAATAAAACGACCGTAGTAATTGACCATTCCAAGGAAACTACGCACCTGAGGAACGTCTTCCGGTCTACGCATTTTTTCAATTGCTTCTATTTTATCCGGCTCTTTATGTAATCCGTTTTTGTCGATAATGTAACCGCAATAATTAATTTGTTCCATAAAAAATTCGCTTTTATCAAGATTAATTCTAATATTGTACTGATGTAGACGTTTAAAAACTGCTTCTAATTTTTGTAAGTGATCTTCCGGATTTTTACCCGATACGCGTATGTCATCCAAGAAGGCAGTTACTCCCGAAAGATCTTTCAGAATGTTCTCCATGTCACGTTGCCAAATGGCCGGTGCAGACGCGATTCCATACATTAAACGCTTAGGTCGGTAAAGGCCTTTATGAGTATTCAATGTAAGGAGGTGTTGATCCTCGGGGCGAACCTCTATTTGTAAATATGCTTGTAATAAATCAATTTTAGAGAAAACTGTGCCGCCCTCCATTGAGGTAAACAATTCGTCCGCTGTCGGAAGATGATGCTCGTCAACAACGAGCTGAGGATTTAAGGTGACACTATAATCGCCACAAAGGCGAACCTGGCCGTTCTTTTTAAGAACTGGAACTATCGGCGTAGCCCATTCAGAAGTGTCTACCTTCTCTAAAACTCCTTCTGATTCTAGCCGTTGCAATTCCTTTTCTATTAAGGGGCGTAATCTGAAAGGCACTGGCCGCGATTTGCAAAATACCGGTTTCGCATCTTTTTTAAGCGTTAATTTTGCCTGTAACCCTTTTATTTTTGCTATCGACGGTGTCATGATTGACTTGTACTTTTGTAGTAATGCATTTAACCTATCTTTGTGACCAGTATCTATCACATGTATCGATTCTATGCTACTAAGAAAATTCTTAATATTAGCTTCATCCCGTAATTGGAAGATCCATTCGCGACCTAAAAAAGCGTTTCTCTTTTGATTTGTAATATATAGATGTAATTCGCGTAGTTTATTATGGCACCGTACAGTCACGACTATATAACCTAGTAATTTTACGTTCTGCTTACAATAAGAAATTAATGTAAGTTGCGTTGAATGTATGGGCGAATCTGGAAAAAGCTTACTCGCGTGCTCCTGCGCCATCACCGACACCGCAGCACCGCTATCTATTTCAAACTTGACTTGTTTGTCATTTACCAGCAGTGTAGTGAAGATTTTGTCCCGAAACTGTGTATGTTCCATCAATAGGATCTCTTCAAGCTGGTTTGTTTCCCGGCTCACTTGAAAGCACACCTTTTTCAGATGGCCGCTCTTTCCACAAGCGTTGCATTTGACGTTCTTATCTAATGTACATTTGGACGCTAGATGATTTGCACCGCATCTATAACATGTAATAATATTAGTATTCGTATTTTTACAAGACTTTACATTTTTCGAACCTTGTCTGCCATTAAATTCACGCGCGTTTATACCTTTTTGTTGTTGTACTTTTACAGACTTATCTACGTTAGATGGATGTCGGGGAGTCCGCTTGGCCGCTTGTACCAGACTTAATTCCGCTAATTCTCCTTGTAGTTGTTGAGCACCTTTCTCAGACAGCTCCATTGTAGTGGCCACCTGCGCTGCTTTTTCCAACGTTAGATCCGCCAGCTCCAGGAGACGTGCTTGAGTCCTCTTGTTCGACAAGCCAAACACTAACTGGTTTCTTAGGGCTGTCTTTAAATAATCGCCAAACTTGCAATGCACGCTTAGCTTGTGGAGTGCCGCTAAGAATTCTTGAACTGTTTCACCATCCTTCTGCTTACGTTGATGGAATTTGTAGTTTTCCGCTATTTCTAACGGCGCCGGGTCGTAAAATTCTCCCAAGCTCCTTGTAAGCGTCGCGTAACTGGCTTCGAAGGGATCTTGCGGCGATAACCGATCGCACAAGATATCGAACGATGTGGCCCCAACGTAATGCAGTAAGTAAGGCACTCGGGCCTCGTCCTTAATTGTAAATATTCGAAAAGCGCCTTCCAGCCTGAGTAACCATCGTGACCAATTTGTGACGGTGGAATCGAAAGGCTCGATCGTAAACGTATTTGGCACTGCTGCCGTCGCCGTCGCCATTTTTGGTATGGCTCAAAAGGGATGTATCCGTCTCGCGTTTGCCGTTTGCCGTCTTCTTTTTGTACTTCCCGACTCGTACCTTTTTCGTGGCTACTGTCGAGATAACCCTGATCCCATCCTCGTCGCCAATTGTTGTAATTCTTCAACCAAGCAGGTCCAGTACAGGGGATAGGGTTT